AGAGTTGCCAGGAACAGTCATGCTCCTTCTAGAAACTCACACGACTTCCGCTGTCATAACAATGTTTACTTTTTTTTCATAACCTTGCATGTGTTTATTTTCATTCAATTTGTGTATGTTACCTTTACAACCCTAGTTGAATTTTTGTTAGGCTGTACAAGACAAATTCAAAAGCATCCACATTAAAATATATTTATTTTAATTACATTATTTTATCTTTGACAAAACTACACACAAAACATGTTCTGTGAATAAAAACAAACAAACTTATACTTAGTGAATTTTGTGTTGAGAAGTTCAAGAAGCTTGGTCTGAAACTGAACTGATCCTTGAAGACTTTTTTGAGATGTCCGAAAGTTACGCTTGAGCATTTCAGGCATTATTGGATCTTCTCTTCAATATCAGCCTTGGCCGATAGGTGGCTGTGGAGATATGGAAAGTGCTCCACGTTTTGAAGAGTCTCCCCTTTTATTTGAATCATTGAAGCTTTTTCTTGTACACTTGAAGCTGGCTGATGGAGGACTTGAGTTTTATTGGTGTTTAAAGACAGGCCCATCCTTTTATAGGTTTCACAGAAAACATTAAATATAGTCTGAAGGTCTTCTTCAGAATGAGCATAGACAATAGCATCATCTGCATAATGGAGCTCAACAACTAATTTGGTGGTGGTGTTTTTCTAGGATCAGAACTGGTCGATGTGTGAAAGCTTACCATTCATCCTGTAGACAATTTCAACTGGATGGAAGCTTGACACTCACAAAAAAAAGTAAACACTAGCAATATAGATGAATAAAATAATGGGGGTGATGGCACAGCCTTGTTTCACTTTTGTCTTTATCTCAAAGGAATTTGTTGTATTACCTTTGTTGATGACAGTTGCTGACATGTTGTGAAAAAGTCTCAAGATGGTGATAAACTTATGTAGATATCAGATATATGACAAGATTTACTATCAAGCCTTCCAATTGACAGAGTCAAAAGCTTTCATAAAGAGTGGGTGATGTTGCTCGAGATTGGATGGAATGTTCTAGACTTCAATCAAGCTATAAATACACGTCATTAAATTGTTATCAAGTTCTGTGATACGTGATCGTGAGTTTAGCGAGAAAGAGTGTATAGTGGCGATTTTTAAAGTGAAATGACCACAAACCATATTGAATGACAGAGTAGAGAAGAATAATTCGTCTTTTTTTAAAATTGTGTTCTAAAATAACTGAACCAAACTGTGTGGCCTTTGACGAAAAAGAGACAATTATTTAAAGCTCTGGATACAACTGTGGTAACCAACAGAGTATCGAACATTTGTACGTACGTTTGATTTGTTTTTAATATATTATTTTAAAAACAAGCGGATTGTGTTGCTGTTTGTCTATAGTTTGAAATTTTTCGTCAACAAGTTACAGACACCTACTGCAAAGAATCCAGCCTTACAAAACCTGATAATCAACAAGAGGCAGCCAGTTGGCAAGGGTCCGAACAACAATCTTTCCAGTGATGGAAAGCAGGATAATGCTCTGGTAGTTCCTACTGTCTACTTTGTCACTTTTTTAAAAATTGTAATAATCGCTTTACACTTACAATTACTTAGTTTATACAAAATATTCCACGTTTTCATCTGAATTCACGATGTTCATATGGAAAGATAGGATTTAAATGGGTTAGTTTGAAACGACCAAACTACACACCAAACATGTATTACGACAGCGGAAGTCACGTGACCCTGGTTACACACAATGAGTTACTAGAAGGATCATGACTGTTCCTGTTAACAAACGACCTGAAACGTAACACATGTTATGAGAATAAAACAAACTTGTAGTGAAAGAATTAATTACGTTTTGAGAAGGTGAGCTTACACAACAAATAATCTGATACGATAATCGACCATGAAAGGTATGCTAGTGTACAGAGGAGGATGGAATTTAAATAACTTGCACACATTCAGAGTTTGTCATAAAATACTACACACCTACAGCTACTTAGTTTACTCAAAATGCCTATATGTTTTCAT